ATGTCAATTACAGGCCTCTCTCATCTTTTTAAGTGGGAGAACTTGCACAATTGGTGGCTGCCTAAATACTTTTTTGCTCCACTGTATTTAGGATCACAATGAAAAGTTCTTTTTTTCCCCTTTTTCTTTTGTCAGGTTGCCCGACAACTTTGCTATTATCATATGGAAAAGAATACTTTTTCCTTTCTTGTCTTCTTTTCACTACATTATCATGATTGTTCTTTATTATATATGCTCATCCGACAAAGACAACTAAAGAACAGGAAAGACATTTGACTAGTAGCCACTGGCCTATCTTATCCACTGTTTATGGAATGCAAGGTCCACAATGCCTTTCTGCATTCAATGGGAGCGTCTAGAAATTACTTACCAAAACCTATGGTAGCAAAATTGTAGGAGCCTAAAGAAAGAAGCAAAACAAGAGTTACAAACTATCAGCAAAAGGGACAATTAAATTTACTAGCTCTTGAAAATATTTTTGAGAGGATCTCCAAACAATATAAATTGTCAAATCTTTAGAGCCTAATTTCCAACTTACTTTGCTTACTCTGTGTACATGCTGGCACAGGGGCATCCCGTCCTATCTGCTGCGCTTGAATAGGAGAAGAATCATGCCTGACATAGCCATTTCCAGACTCCAGAATCACATTAGCACTAATCTGAATCACACTTTTTTTTCTGCTCTGGTGCTAACAGAAAGTGGTGGGAGCGGGCAGCCATCTACTGAAAATCAAAGTTCAATAAAAGTTCTTAGACACTTTTTTTGCAGCAAAGAGCCACACTTGCCACTTGCCTTTACAACTCGAGAGTTGTAAGAAGGTTGCCTGAGATGCAATCATACCATTCAAAGAGATAAAGCAAAAAACATATTTTATTGGAGAAGTTTAAATAAAAATAATAGAATTATTCTCATCTTAATTTTTATCCACACTTTCACCCTTACTGACAATCTGCCTCTACCTAAATGCTAAAAGATTTTTGGGAGGAGAAAAACTGCTATCAAAAATTCCCCTGGGCAGGAAACATTTTTTTGTACAAGGTACTTTATTGAGTGCTGCAGGTTTCAACTCTATATTTTTGAAGCAGATCTGGATCCTAATTAATTATTATATCACATTTGTTAAGATGCTATATCTGAGGCTTCATTAAATGTATTCCTACGAATTGCATTTAAAAATTCAATACATCTAAAAAATAATTGATTTACAATAACATTCAAGTATAATGTGATATTTAAGCAATAATAGCCTATGGCCTATGAGCTAAAGTAAATATTTATAAAGCTCAAAAAATATGGCAGAAATAGGCAAATGCGTTTATTTCTTGTACTGATCCAAAAACTCCAGGGAATTAATTACAGTCTTCATAGTGACTTGGTTCAGGAAGTCCAGTAATGAGAATTCTCTGTTGTATTGTATTGTATAAGTTTAGTTCAAAACAGTGTGGACTCAAAATAAATGATATCCTTAGACAGCACCAGTGGTGGGATTCAAAAATGTTTATTACCGGTTCTGTGGGCGTGGCTTGGTGGGTGTTGCAGGGGAAAGATACTGTAAAATCTCCATTCCCTCCCCACTCCAGGGGAAGGATATTGCAAAATCCCAATTTCTTCCCAATCATCTGGGACTCAGGAGGCAGAGAATAGATGGGAGAGGGGCCAGTCAGAGGTGGTATTTACCAGTTCTCTGAACTGCTCAAAATTTCTGCTACCAGTTCTCTAGAACTGGTCAGAACCTGCTGAATACCACCCTGGGCAGCATTGACTGATAGCCCCCCCCCCCCCTCAAGATGTACATTTAAAAGAATTTGAACAAGGGACAGTGTTGGCCACCAATCATTTAAAGTTATATCTCATGTTTCAGTCCAATATTATGCAATTGTTGCTGTTTGATATATTTTAAATACAGATATGATTCAGAATAATAATAATCTAGTTTGGATTATGACCAATAACCATTCACACACCCCATTCCCACTTATTAAGTACGTAAGTAATTTGTCTAGATGTAATTGATACCAGGGACGTGCAGGCAGGGGAGGCAGGGGAGGCAGGGGAGGCAGAGCCTCATCACTGTTATCATGAAAAAAAAATGTTAAAGGAAAAAGGCATGAGCTGAGGTCAGGCTGAGCTAGTTGCTGCCAGAGTCACCGTGGATGACTCTACTTTTGTTTAAAAAAGCCTCTAAAAAAGCGCCCTCTACAGGAGGAGGCAGGAGAACGATGTGCCTCATCTAATTTGACTTTAGGCGTTTTATGATCACTCAAGCAGAGTTAAGCAAGGGTTAAAAGCCTAAAAATTCCTGACAGATGAGGCACGTCGTTCTCCTGCCTCCTGTAGAGGGCGCTTTTTTAAACAGTTAAGCAGAGTCATCCATGGCAGCAACTAGCTCAGCCTGACCTCAGCTCTTGCCTTTTTCCTTTTACATTTTTTTCTTTTCATGATGACAGGCAAGAGCAGAGTTGAAATCCTCTCTGAAACAGCTGGAAAAGGTACATGTGGGTCGGAGGGAGGGGGAGGAATTCAAACTTCATCCTCAAGTGTAGATCCCTCCCCAAGTGTAGTTTGATAGCAGGCAGAGCCTTTTCAAACACACAGACACACACAGACACACACACACACACACACAGATAAAACTATAAGCCCAGCTTCACTCATTACAAGTTTGAAAAGGCAACGTGGCTCCTCCTGCAATCAAAGGCTCGGATTGGAAGGCAGCAGGGGAATGGGGGGGGGGTATGGCAGAGTAGCTGCTTTCAAGCCATTGGAAAATATATCCAATCCAACTTCTGTGTTTGTGTTTATTTAAGAGTGAGTGAGTGAGAGAGGGAAGGGGGTAGGAGAGATAGTCCAATCCAACTTCTCTGTGTGCATGTGTCTGTTTGAGAGAAGGGGGAGGGAGGGAGAGAGGGAGGAAGGAGGGGGAGGGAGAAGAAAAAGAATGAAGGAAACTTTTTGGCAAAGGAGAAAAACAAATGTTGTCGCTTTAAATCGGAACTGAGCATGTCTGACTGTGGAATTCTGGTTGAAGTCCACAAGTCTAAAAAAATTTGAAACCCACCACTCTGTCAGTGCCTCACCAGCATAAACCTCACTGCACGTCACTGATTGATACATAATTTCATATTTCCTAGTGTTGCTTATTTAGAAATATGCTGCCACAGATACAGAAAAAGGTGTCCCTTTGCAATGGAAACCTTGTGCCCTCCAGCTGTTGCTGAGTTATGCTTGTATTGTAAGCCATCCAACATCACTTTAGATAGTGAGATGGGCAACATATAAATGAAATAAATAAATAATCACTAGCATTTCTCACCAAGGACCAGGCTTAAGAAATATTGATAAATATAGTTATATAGAAATATAATAAATCATTAAATAAGAAGACAGTTCTTTATCTTGCCTTCCTATTGGAAGTCAGGATACGCACCTTCTCCACTGCAATTTCTAAACTCTGGAAAAGCATCTGTTTGGTTCCCACCATTCAATTGGTCTGTTTGGTTCCCACCATTGAATTGTTCCGGAAGTCTTTGAATATCTGGCTGTCCTCCAAGGCCTGGGGTGAAGGTAGTTGCTAAGTCCTTGGTACTTGTTTTGTTGATTTTTGAATGTATTGTGTCTTTTATGAATGATTCAGGTTTTTTTTCTATTTGATTGTTCCGATCCTTGGTCATCTGAGAGTCACTTGGGAGTTTAGTAGCCTCCGTATCTAAAAATAATAATGAAGAAGAAATTCAACATTCAAAACCACTATGATTTTTTTTAAATGGCTTGATAACAAATTATGTGATCAGTTTCCTAAACCAAAAGCAATCATTTCCATGGTTTCCCCACTGCAGAAGAAATACAAGTAGTCCTCAACTCATAATTTCATTGCTAAGCAAGGCAGTTATGTCACACCCAACTTTATGACCTATTTTGCCACGGTTGTTAAGCAAAACACTGCCATTATTAAGTGACTGACATAGCCATTAAATGAATTTGGCTTCTCTCATTGACCTTACTTGTTGGAAACAGGCTGGCAAGCTCACCAATGGCAATCACATGACTCTGGGACGCTGCAACCATTGTAAATGCATGTTGGTTGCCAAGTGCCTGAATTTTGATTATATGACCCTGGGAAGCTGTGATAGTCATAAATGCAAGGAACGGTTATAAGTCTTTTTTTCAGTGTTATTGTAAATGTGAATAGTTGCTAAACAAATGGTTGTAAGTCAAGGACTACTCATAGTGCCAAAGTGATTAACAAAACAAAATGCTCATTAGCTTATAAAAGAATGTTTTATAAAACACCACTTCTAAGTTTGCTCTTCTGGAAGAAACAAAGTTCAGCGGGACAAAACAGGCCTTGCTTGCATATTGTCACAATGCATTTTCAAGAGACACGGTGACAAAGCTCTCAATTCATTGGCCCATGTAGTTCTCTCAGATGCTGCCAGTTTCAGTTACTGAGGTCTAAGCAGTGTAGTTCTTAGGAGGTACTCCATGTCCTTGGCACCAGATGTCACTTAACACTATTGTAGTACAAACCAGTTTAACAAGTTTAACAGTTTAGCTCTCACATACATTCTTTTCTTTTACACTGAGGGACAGGTTGATTCCATGTTCCAGAAGTCTGGCAGTAAATGGTTGGTGCTCCAATAAGAAAAAAACCTGGATCACAATGATAAGTCACAGAGGTGCCATAGGGGAAATCTTCCAAAGTAGTCTTGTCTCGTTTGCTATGGGTGACATTTGGTGGTGCAAGGCAACCTACAGAGAAGAAAAGTTGCAACTGTATTACCGAAGATTTACTTCTCAAATTCCACCCAAATTATGACATTCAGTTCGACTTGGATGCACACATCCTAGTCCTTCAATAAATACTGCGTAAAAAATCATTAGCATGACAGTATGCACTGTCCAACTATAGTACTCTTCCTCATCTAGCTTCAAGCACCCATCACTGACAAGCCCCCCCCCCCCAATCCCTGTAAAAGAAGCAGTGAAGTCTGAACTACTGATCTGAAAAATACAAGCAAAAAAGGACCTTGGCATCTGGGGGCTTCACTCCATTTTACAGAGTTTGAGCTGTTCCGAATACACATAACACTGTAGTTTCCAATGTGGGAATAGCCAGCATCACAAATATAGAATACTGATTTCCCATATGTGAAGTCTTCACCAACATGCTTCCCATGGATGATTTTTGGGGGTACGGGACAATGCATAACTACAAAAAAGCAAAGTGTGGTAAATACAGAAAGTATCTTCATTCTAGATCTGCCGGATGCTAAATCTATTCAAATATTTTCCACCAAGAAAATAGTTGTGACAGATGTGATGCATGTATTCTCCAGAAACAAGACTTGGTAATTCTGCCCATAGTAATCACCATTTGGAATAGACTGAGAATGACAGTGCATTCTTATTTGACAGCTATTTGTTCTCAGTCAGACCAAGGGAGTGTCTTCCCACAATCCCTGGTGAGTTAGAAGATAATGGGTTTTTTTCCACAATTCTAAGTGGTTTCAAATGTGTGTTTGAAAAACAATACATTGAAGGAAAAGACTAATAGATGCAATATACAATAATCATAATCCATTTTAGCCCAGACAGTCCACATTGCAGTTTTTATTACCTTCACAGGATGGCACAGGAAGGCTCCAGTTTCCAGAAGGTCCACAGGTAATAGATGCCTTTCCAATAAGCAAATATCCCGGATCACAATAATAGGTTACAGACATTTCAGAAGTAAACATTTTCAAAGCTAAACTATCATGTTTTCCATTGGCTATGCTTGGAGGGAAGGGACACTGTGATTCTAAAAGAAAAGAAAAAGAAAAAAGGAAGTCAGAAGACAGTGTTCAGAATTCTATTTTGATGAGATACTTAGTGGAAAGTTGCGATTAAAGGCCATTTACTACAAGTTGATCCCTCCACTTTTCTAAGGGGCACAAGGCATGTTGTGTAACATCTCTCATTTTTTATTTCATTATTGAAATTTCATTATTACTGGGCAGAGCCTGGGAAAGTAGATTAGATATGGCTTAAGCCGGGCTTTGTTAAATAGAGTGGTTCACTTATAATATTAAGCCACACAACCTAGTTTACAATTCACCTTTGTTGAGTTCATTAATATACAAAGTCAGAACAAACAAACCACATTTTGGGCTTAGTGCAATGAGGGAAAGCTGGCAATATCTCATTTAAAATAAATGAGGCACATGACTGAGTAGATTCTTTCATCTGTATCTCACATGTCCAAATTCAATCCCAAAGTCTTCTTTTTATGCTGTGAGGTTTTATGCTATCAGCAGCAATTAATTAAGAAAATTACTTTTGCAATGAGGGGCAGGAAAGGTCCACGTGCCAGAGTCTGTGCAATGAATAGTAGCATCTCCAATTAGAGTATAGCCAAAGTTGCATGTATATTTCACACACATTCCTCTTTTGAATACCATTACTTCCTGGTTGCTATGAACCCCATTCTGGATATCTGGAGGTGACTTGCATTCAATCTCTGAAAAGATATAAAAGTACTATTGATTTCAAAGAGTTACCGCTATCTCTCAGAGGTGTGCATATTCTTAGGAAAAAATAGTTTACAGCTGGCAGGAACACATGCAAATAATTACTCAAGTCAGATGGCGTCTCTCTCATGACTGGCCTATGGAATCTAAAAAGGGTTAGGGAGGGAAGGGACTCAGAGGACAGCACTTACAATTCCATTTTGATATGATACTAGGTGGAAAATTGTAATTAAATATGCTTCTGGTTTATTCCCTGTTTCTTCAATCAGGGCCCTATTTCTAAACTTTGCAATAAGAACAATTTGACTGCAAAGGAATTTGCATCGTTTTATGACTAAAAGATCATTTAACAGGCTAGTGTTGAGGCAACCTGTCTATTTTTCTTCGCAAAATGCAATTGTTCTTTGAAATGAGAAATCTGGTTTATAAAAGTCAGATAGATGCACTTGTAGATACATGCATTAGCATATGTTTCTACAGAAGCAGATCTTCACTAAATCATATGGGTGTAAAGTTTAAAGCATTACCTGCCGCTTCTTCAGAGGTAACCTTACTTAAAAATAATCTTCTTGCACTATGATATAAAAGAAGTTCACTGGTGCAAAATTAGCTCTGCTCAAGATGACTTCTCATTTCTTCAGTTTTAGTTTGGATTCCTTGACTGAAGGCATTCTTTAATCATTTTATATACCACTAGATTTTAAGCCTAAATGTTTCTCGGTCTGGTATCTTAACAGTTTTGAAGCAGCCTTATACTAGGGTTACTGTATGTCCAGAATCATTCAATTCAATTAAAAAAAAAACAGCAAAGGCGTGTGAAGACTAATTGTTTCTGTCCCTCTCATCTTCATGAGGCAATAGAGCCTATCTCAAGAAATGTACCTTCACAGTTAGGGGCAAGAGAAGACCATGTGCCACTATCCATACACTGAATAGTTGCCTCCCCAATCAGAGCGTAGCCAGGATTACATGTGTATTTCACAAGCATTCCAATGGGAAATAATGTTTCCTGGTTGTTGTGAATCCCATTTTGAATCTTTGGGGGTTGCTGGCATTGCACTACTGGAAGAAAGGAGAAGAACAAATTAAACAAATTGAACAAATTAAAACAAACAAATTTTACTTCACTGGGGAAAAGAACAAAAATTAAGAATCTACTTTGGCTACATTTCTTTCCAGTCTGAGCAGTTCTCCCTGAAAAATGGATTGTGAAATGGTCCAAATTATCCTTCCAAATTGGGTGAATAGAGATTGGCATTTGGTTCTCACCATTGTATGCTGTTATTTAATAAAAAAAAACCCAAGATGGACCTTCCACATTGTCTCATGGAACAACCAAATGCTCTAGAAGGAATTGCCTTTCAATTTTCAAAGGGGGCTTTTGAAATGCTTCTGCATTTATTGTTCACACAGAAATTAGCAAGAAAGGGAGAAAAAATACTTATTTTTTTTCTAATTGTGAGAAGAGTTGATAAAATCCAGCTTCACTAAACATACCCCTGACACAGACAGGTGCTGGCGAATCCCATGTGTTGCCATGTTGACACCGAATTGTATGATTGCCTTTCATGGTGTAGCCAGAGTCACATTCAAATGTAATTGTTGATACAGATTGATCATTTGCTTTGGGCCTAATAATTCTTCCATTCTGAATGTCTGGATTCACACAGCCTGGAATTAAAAATGAAAGGGAAACAGTTAAATTTGGTCGAGTCCTGTACAAATAATGCCTTCTTTAGAAATAATTCACTAAACAAAGAGTAAATATAGATTTTTTTAAAAAAAGAAAAAGACTTTGTCCTAAGACCATGATAGGATTTAGCTGAATATTAATGGACAAAGATAAGAGGGGGACTAGGATCCAAGATATGCACATGGTATGTTGGTCAGGAGATTCCTTATTGCAGGTCAGAGACCCTAAATCAATGCATGGAAAGAATTGACATTAAGATAGTCCTTGACTTATGACTGTAATTGAGTGCAGAATGGGAGGGAAGGAGATGGGAGGGGTGGGGTGGAAAGGGGAGGGGAAAGGAGGTTGTCTTTAATTAATATAATGCATACTTCATATTTAATAAATGTTTCCGATGCCATTTTGTCGATTGTTGAATAATAAGATGAAAATATTAAGATACAAGTTGTTGCAGCCAGGACCATACAGTCCACTGTTAGAGAAGGAAAATGTAATGCTTATGTCAAACAGAATAAAACAGAGCTCCGAATACTGTTTTTTAAAAATGGAAAATCCAGATTTAAACTTACCTTGTTCACAGACAGGTATAGGGGGATCCCATGTACCATCCCCTTGGCAATAGATCTCTCTGGAACCAACCATCTTGTAGCCCACAGTGCACTCAAAGCTAACCTTCTGGTTATATTTGTAAGTTCTGGAAATTCCAGCAGCAATCCTTCCATTCTTAATCTGAGGATATGGACACTGTGTCACTGAAAAATAAAAGACATGTCAGAAGCAGATAAGGAGAAAAAAATGGAATCACTCTGCCAAAGTGTCCAGCCTGATTCATTCAATTTAGGTACCTGATGAAGAGGGCTAATTAGTTTGTCCATAGATTTTCTGATAAACATTATAGTTCAATTAACAGTTAGGGCTATGCTGTAATATGACTTGCTTACAGCCTGATATAATATTGCCTAAGGATGAAGTATGCAGGTTTCATTATCTTCAATATGATTTGCATCATTTTAGCTGTCTCTATAGTTTCTGTTTTAGAATACTGGCATTCATTAAGTCTTGTTTTATAAATATCCTAGGCTAGACCTGCATTTTGAGGGCTGCTTACTCTGGCAGTAAGGAAGGTCATCTGTCCATGCTACTGTTTTACCAAACAATGCACAGCTTCTGGAAGACTTGCCAATCAACCTATACCTGTAGCAAAACAAAAGAAACAGCATATAATCATTTTAGGTTTTGTAAAAGAACGCAGGCTTTAGATAGTTGGAATCAAACCGATGTTCTACATCCCTTTGTCTACTCTAATTCAAATTGAGCTGCTTAGAGTTGTTTCAGTTCTGAGGTCATCTTCAGATCTGAATAAAATGCACAGATAAAGATGACCAAGGACCTCATACAGTATTTTAGTATTCATTCATCCCATGCTTTTTTATTCATGTGAT